AAGTGGATCGGACGGCCCTCATGATCGAAGGTGAGTACACTGAGAGAAGCCATAGCGGGCAGAGCAGGGTGGCGCGCGACCAGCAGAGCAGCGCGCAGAGCAAGGCAGGGCGGCGCACGGCTAGGGCGACCAGCGGGGCGGCAAGTGGGCTGCCAGAGGGCGGCGTGTGGGCTGCCAGAGGGCGGCGAGCGGGCTGCAAGGGGGGAGCGAGCGAGCTGCTAGAGGGCGGCGAGCGGGCTGCAAGGGGCGGCGAGCGGGCCGCAAGGGGTGGCGAGCAGGCTGCAAGGGGCGGCGAGCGGGCCGCAAGGGGCGGCAAGCGGGCTGCAAGGGGCGGCGCGCAGGCTGCAAGAGGGCGGCTCGCGGGCTGCAAGGGGCGGCGAGCGGGCCGCAAGCGGGCGGCGAGCAGGCTGCAGGGGCGGCGAGCGGGCGGCGAGCGGGCCGCAAGGGCGGCGAGCGGGCCGAAGGGCGGCGAGCGGGCGCAGGCAGGCGGCTAGCGGGCCGCAGGCGGGCGGCTAGCGGGCTGCAGGAGCGGCGCGCGGGCCGCAAGCGAGCGGTGAGCGGGCTCCAGGGGCGGCAAGCGGGTCGTAAGGGCGGCGAGCGGGCCGCAAGGGCGGCGAGCGGGCCGACGGGCGGCGAGCGGGCCGCAAGCGGGCGGCGAGCGGGCTGCAAGGGCGGCGCGCGGGCCGCAAGCGGGCGGCGAGCGGGCGGCAATGGCGGCGAGCGGGCTGCAGGGGCGGCGTGCTGGCTGCAAGGGCGGCGTGCTGGCTGCAAGGGCGGCTCGGGGGCTGCTAAGGGCGGCGCGACGGGCTGCTAGGGGCGGCACAGCGACTAGCAGGGCGGCGGGCCGTTAGGGCAGGGCTGCAAGGCAGCTAGTGGGGCAGCTCTGTGGTGGGCCCAAAAAAAAAATCGGTCCTAGGGAAGGACCTGCTCTGAAACCATGTTAAAATCTAGAACGAGAAATGAATAGCATTGAACAGAAGTTGGGTACAAGTATGACCCTAGTTGGGCTGTACCCCTTATGGGCTATACCCCACTATAGCCTACACAAAGTAAGTGCTATAAGAGTTTTGACAGGCTGTGTGTGCCGACGAATGGTAACGAAGCGCCTGGATCCCTATAGGCGTAGGGAAAAGCATCCAACGACCTGAATGTTGTTTCAAATTCGGGTGGCCCATGTTCAAATACACCTACCAGAGCAATTTCAGCTTGGTTCGTGCGCACAAAAAAAGTTCGGCGCCTGCGATGACGGCTCTGCCGACAAATGGTAACGAAGCGCATGGATCCATACAGGCGTAGGGAAAAGCATCGAACGATCTGAATGTTGTTGCATATTTGGGTGGCCCATGTTCAAATATACCTACTGGAGCAATTTCAGCTTAATTCGTGCGCACAAAAAAGTTTGGCGCCTGCGATGACGGCTGTGTCTGCCGACAAATGGTAACGAAGCGCATGGATCCCTACAGGCATAGGGAAAAGCATCGAACGACCTGAATGTTGTTGCATATTTGGGTGGCCCATGTTCAAATACACCTACCAGAGCAATTTCAGCTTGGTTCGTGTGCACAGAAAAGTTCGGCGACTGCAATGACGGCTGTGTTTGCAGACAAATGGTAAAGAAGCGCATGGATGCTTTTGGGCGTAGGGAAAAACATCGAACGACCTGAATTTTGTTGCATATTTGGGTGGCCCATGTTCAAATACACTTACCAGAGCAATTTCAGCTTACTTCGTGCGCACAAAAAAAGTTTGGCGCATGCGATGACGGCTGTGTCTGCCGACAAATTGTAACGAAGCGCATGGATCCATATAGGCGTAGGGAACTAAATATACCTACCAAAGCAACTAAATTGTACTATTTTGTGTTAGAATGTGAACGAATGAATGAAACAGAGAAGAGAGGAGTTTCACTAGCAAGCAGTTGAGTACATATAGCAAACCCTGAATTGGGCCGTACTCACTATTGAGTACCCCACTGCAGGCTAGACAAATATAACATTCTGACACACCCCCATAGCCAAATTGGGGTGTTATCAGTACAACAAGCACAGCAAAACAAGCTCAGGGTGGATCACAACGTCACCACACATTCTGAGCACAAGTACAAGAAGCAGCAGTTTATAGTTCACAGTAATAAGTAAAGCTAGAGGCTATCACAGAGGGCAAGTGAGGAGGAGGAGGCTGGACTGATAGGAAAGGAGATAGGAGGCAACGGCTGAAGCTGCAGACACACGGGCAACAGGAGCGGCGCGCACAGTGGCTACCGGAGCAACGGCCCCGGACTACAGGAGTAACTGGCTCGGCGGCTAACTCTGAGCGGCAGGAGCAACGAACCCACGGGCTACAGGCACAGCAGGCTCTCTGAGCTACCAACAGCAAAGGCCCCGGACTACAGGTGCTGTGGGCGACAAGACAGCTGCCTCCGCCCAACATCCCCAAACTGTCCCACCCCCCTTTCACACACCCCCCCCCGCTGCACCCCTAGTTTCACGCACACTCCACCCCCTAGCACCACTCCGTCGGTTCCCACACATCCACCCCCCTCAGCGGCAGCTGCAGAAGTGGGAGACGGAGGAGGAGGAGGAGCAGGGGAGGCGGCACACACCCGCCACCCCAGACTCGCCACCCCCAAACCCTAACACAGGGCAGGGCCGTAGCTGGCGGGTAGGGAGGGTAGGGGGGGGGGGCAGGGCCGCGACAGGGCCAGGGCAGGACAGGGTCGGGACTCAGCGGCAGGGCAGGGCAGGGCCGCGACAAAGGACGGAAGGGGCCGACGCGCGGCCCCCCGGGTCGCATCAACGGGCGACGGGGGGGGGGGGGCGACGCGCGGCCCCCCAGGGCGACACGACGGGCGACGGGGGGGGCGACGCGCGGCCCCCCAGGGCGCCGCGACGGGCGACGGATGGGGCGACGCGCGGCCCCCCAGGGCGTCGCGACGGGCTACGGGATGGGGGGGGGCGACTCGCGGGCCCCCCAGGGCTCCGCGACGGGCGACGAGCAGGGCAGCGCGCGGGCCCCCAGGGCGCAGTGTGAGAGAGCAAACCGCCGCGCGCCTCGGGGCGCACGGCGGGGAGAAAACCGCCACGCGCTCCGAGCGCGTGGCAGGAAGAAAAACGGTCGCGCACCAGGGGGCGCGCGACAGACAGGTCAGCAGCGGAAGCACTGGGTGGGCCCATCCACAGGATCGACCCGGGGGGGTCGACCTGCTCTGATTCCATGTTAGAATGTGAACGAATGAATGAAACAGAGAAGAGAGGAGTTTCACTAGCAAGCAGTTGAGTACATATAGCAAACCCTAAATTGGGTTGTACTCACTATTGAGTACCCCACTGCAGGCTAGACAAATATAACATTCTGACATTTTCTACTTACTTGCCATTTCATTCCATGTATTTTGGAAAATATGAGCGTTTCAACTCTGCCTGGTGCGCTCCCTACATGCGCGCATACCGACCAAACTGATCAACGCATCGCTTTGATTGGCCACACGAAGTGGATGCCCTTTATATTAGGTATGTTCACTAGATTATACCATTTTCTACTTACTTGCCTCGTAATTCCATTTCATTCCATATATTTTGCGAGATATTTGCGATTCAAACCCGACTGGTACGCTCCCTACATCTGCGCAAACCGACCACCCAGGGCTGATTTTATTAGGGTAATTACCCTGATTTCAGGGTGATTTCAGACTTGTCACTTTCTGGACCCTGAGAAATCAGGTTTTTCACATTTTGGTCCCTGATCCATTCAGAGTATTGCTTTAGCGGACCCTGAAATTTTGTGTACACTCTCAGTGTAGGGTTTTCACGGACCCTGTCAATACAGAGTACGAGGCCTGTGGACCCTGAATGCGATGTTATCGGGGCGAAGTTTCTCGGAAATTTCCTCCTGATAACCCCTTCGCATTGATTTCAGTGCCCCCCACGTGCGTAATCCTCCCCGCCCCCCCCCCCCACCCCCCCCCCTCGCTTTATCGAGACGAAATTTCTTCGAAGTTTCGTTCCCATACACCCACCATCTAGATCGGGCGAATCTGTAATGTCAGATTTTAGGTTGCTGTTATTGGTCGAAATAGATGTGCTCTAACACAGCGCCAGTCACATCGCCACAGTGCCAGTCACATCGCCACAGTGCCAGTCACATTGCCAGAATGTGACTTCTGATTGAGTGAGACTTCTGTCCTCGGTAAAGAAAGAGCGCGTTACTACGACCCTAATTTTCAATTCTCGACCCTGAACATTCAGAGTTCACTACTTCTCAACCCTGAGCAATCAGGGTGCTGCTTTTCTGGAAAATGTGCCTTCAGGGTAATTTTTTTTTTTTTAGGTTGAACTCAGGGTACCTAAATTTGAAACGTCAGCCCTGCGACCACCACCCTGATCAATGCATCACTTTGATTGGCCATACGAACTGGACTGGATGCCGCGGTGTTGGTAACCCGAAATGCAGAAATATCCGCACCGGTAATGAAAATGATGCTGCAGTTTAGTGTCGTGGGTAGTCATGACCAATCGTTCTTGCTTCACTCCCTGGCACTTTCTAGCATCATTGCAGGTCCGTGCACTCACTTTCTTCCAATAATTTTGTACAATTATGATTGTGATATGACAGATTCTTACATGGTACTACCGTAGAATCATTAATGCTGGATATTACCGTAATCGCCCGTATATACCTCTAAATACGTTAGGGTGAAACATATTTAATGGCACAAGTTTTTGAAGACCCGTATACATCTATTTGTCACGTAGCAAATTTATGTATAGGGTGTACAGCGAAACTTATATTCGGTAACAGCGAAACTTCCAGCATGTGCAAAATTTGCGCGAGTCGCACGTCAGATACCCAGAGGAGTACAATAGGTTAAGGTTAACCCCTCAGCTGTGCTGGATCACGTTAGCAAGCAAAGAATGGCTATTGCCTTTGGTCTTTCCTTGTCGTGCCTGGAGTGGGTAAGCTCTCGTGGAGCACGAATCGTCACGAGCAGCAGTCCATTCCATTCATATCTTGCCGGCGGCTAGCTTTGCTTCAATCTCCTCCAGCTGGAGCCCTTTGGTCTCGGGCACCCACAGGTAGATGAAGAGGAGGGCTCCAGCACCGATGGTGGCAAACGAGTAGAACGTGCCTGCTTGCCCCAACGCGCCCTGCACATGGAGGAACGGGCAGGGCAGGCAGGGCAGTGCAGGTGGCATGGGAAGCAAGAGAGCAGAGGAGGAACAGTGCATGAGACGGAAGCCACGTGGTGTGCGTACATGCCAGCAACTCGTCCAGTGAGAGGATGCTAAAGTGCCAGTGTTGGCCCCACCACACCCGTGTGCTAAATGCTACCGAGTCAGGGCGGAGTAGGTACCTGTTCGGGTGACAGGGCGAAGGAGGTACCTGAATGGGCGGCAGGGCGAAGGTGACGAGGGCGTTGGAGGCGAAGTTGAGGAGCGTGGCGATGCTCTGCGCTCGGCCCCGCACCGGCAGAGGAAACACCTCCGACACCATTAGCCACGCTATGGGGCCAAACGACACCTGCTCTGCCAGCCGCGCACACAGGCATACGCACGTGCAGGCAAGCAGGCACACAGGCAAGCAGGCACACAGGCAAGCAGGCACACAGGCAAGCAGGCACACAGGCAAGCAGGCACACAGGCAAGCAAGCACACAGGCAAGCAGGCACACAGGCAAGCAGGCACACAGGCAAGCAAGCACACAGGCAAGCAGGCACACAGGCAAGCAGGCACACAGGCAAGCAGGCACACAGGCAAGCAGGCACACAGGCAAGCAGGCACACAGGCAAGCAGGCACACAGGCAAGCAGGCATGCCGACACACACGGATGCAGGCACATAGGCATGCGGGCAAGGGGCAGGTGGGCACAGAGGCAGGTGGGCACAGAGGCAGGTGGGCACAGAGGCAGGTGGGCACAGAGGCACGTGGGCACAGAGGCTCGTGGGCACAGAGGCACGTGGGCACAGAGGCTCGTGGGCACAGAGGCTCGTGGGCACAGAGGCTCGTGGGCACAGAGGCTCGTGGGCACAGAGGCTCGTGGGCACAGAGGCTCGTGGGCACAGAGGCTCGTGGGCACAGATGACATGCAGGGGGTGATGAGGTGGAGGCAGCAAGAAGATGGTCGTGCGGTGGCAGCAGATGGGTGGTGGCGTCATATGGCTAGCAGAGGGTGGTGACGTCACATGGCTAGCAGAGGAGGGAGGTGACGTCACATGGCTAGCAGAGGGGTGGTGACGTCACATGGCTAGCAGAGGGGTGGTGACATCACATGGCTAGCAGAGGAGGGAGGTGAAGTGACCTGGTAGCAGCCAACGAAGAGCAGCAGGGCGAGCACACTGAGGGCAGGCACGCCGCTGAGGCTTCCATACGTCCACCCCAGCAGCACCAGGCTCGCCACCTGCACCCACTCTCATGCGCACTTGCACGGGGCGGCATGGGGCGGCACAATGAGGTTCAAATGAGGTAGAGACAACGGGAGCAACAACAGAGAAGAGAGGGCTAGGGAGCCGGAAATTTCATTCCCACCCATACTGCCACCCACAAGCCCTGCCACCCACAAGCCCTGCCACCCACAAGCCCTGGCACCCACCAGGCCGGAGACGCCAGCGAGCAGCAGAGGGCGGCGGCCCCAGCGGTCCACAGTGGCGATGGCCACGCCCGTCATGCCCAGCTGCTCCCATGGGGGGGGAGGGGGGGGAGCGAGGAGCGTGCGGGCGTGAGGGGTGGGAGGCGGAAGGAGGTGGGGGGCATGGAGGCATGCAGGAGAGGAATGCGAGGGCAAGTGAGCATGTGATGGCTGGTCGTGGCAGGCACCTTCCCCAACCATGCATGGGCCTTTCAACCATGCATGGGCCTTTCAACCATGCAGGCGCGTTGAACATGCACGCAGCGGCAGCACGCACCTTGAAGAGGCCCAGCAGCACTGACACTCGAGTGGCGTCACTGGCAGCTGAGAAGCCCGCGTCCTGGCACACAAGGTGAGGAGGCAAGGTGAGGGAGGGGGGGGCGGGGCAAGGCAAGGAAGGGGAGGCGGGGCATGGAGGGGAGGATGAGAAGCACGGGAGAATTGAGAAAGGGGAAGCCCGCACGAGGAGATGGGGGACAGATGCAGGGATGGGCAGCAGATGCATGGATGGGGCAGGACTTGAGGACAAGCGACAGGGCAGTAGCAGGAAGTAGAAGACCTGACGGATGGAGGCACCTGGAGGATGGAGGCACCTGGAGGATGGAGGCACCTGGAGGATGGCGGCACCTGGAGGATGGAGGCTGCATAGTAGAGCACGCTGGGCTGCCCTGTGACCTGCAGGGGGCAGCAGGTTGGGGGTGGGGAAAGAAGGGATGGAAATAGGAGGGGATGAGGAGAGGCGGGTGCAGGAGAGGGAAAGAGGAGAAGAAGCAAGGAGGGGGGAGGCAGGAGGAAGGGGAGGGGGCGTGAGGGTAAAAGCGAGAGGGTGCATGAAGCTCCTCTTTGGTGAGCTATCTTCTTGACCTGCATGCCTTGAGCACGCGCATGGCAGCCCAGCATTCCAAGGTGCACAAACCAAAGACATGACTCAACATCCATGACAATTGAGGCTAGCCCCTGTGGGAATGTGACGAGCCCACCTGCTGGAAGAACACGAGCCCACAGGCAATCACCAGCGCGCGCCCGCTCGCCCCTGCTACCAGCTCACCCCACCCACTTGCAACCCCCTTGCCCCCCCCCTCCCCCATGGCGACCACCATGCCCTGCACCTCCCTCTGCACCTCCCCCTCCCCACACGCGCCCCCCCTCAGCCGCCTCACCGCCTCCACCGCCCGCCTCCGCGCCTCCTCGCTCCTTTCCCCCACCTGCCCGTCCTGCCCATCCTGCCCCTCTTGCCCTTGCGTCTGCTGGTGGTGCTGCTGCTGCTGGGCGCGCAGCAGCAGCCAGCGGGGGGAGGGCGGCAGCCACGCCATGCCGCCCGCCATCACGAGTGCCAGCGGCGCTGCCAGCCCGTAGATGCCCCTCCACGCGCCCTCTGTGCCCACCAGCACACTGCCACTCACGTACCCCAGCTGGCCTCGTCAGTCGCCACGCACCGTGGCACACGACCCCCGGCAGCGAGCAAGTGAAGGGCAGAGGGCAGTGGGAGAGTACAGAGGGAAGAGACAAACACTGTGAGGGCAATGAACCAGAATGGGAGGTGAGGCACAGCAGTGCTGCCAGCCCGTAGATGGCCTGCCATGCGCCCTCCGAGTCCAATCCAACAGCACACTGCCGCTCACGTACCCTAGCTGCCCTCGCCATGCCCCGTGAGAGCGAGCGAGTAGAGGGCAGAGGGCAAGGAGCAGATTGAAAGACAGTGAGGACATGAACCAGATGGAAAGTAGGACCCAGCAGAATGGGAGGTGGGACGCAGCAGCGAGGGAGGCAGGCTCACGAGGATGCCAGCGACAATGAAGCCTTCTTTGAGCGCGATGAGCGTGCCCCGTATGGCCGGTGGACTGGTCTCCGCTATGTACATGGGCGCCGCATGCATGGCCTGGGGGGGGGGGGGGGCAGGTGTGGGCGTGCATGCATGCACACAGGCAGACACACATGCGCGCACACACTCACTCAGTCACACACGCACACGCGCGCGCGCACACACACACACACACACACACACACACACACACACACACACACGCCGCAAGAGTGGTGAGCAGCTGATGAAGAGCAGTGAGAGCAACGAGAGCAGCAAGAGAAAGCCAGGCAGCTGATGAAGGGGAAGAGGAAAGGGCGAGAAGGAGAAGAGAAGGCGAGAGGCAGGGGAGAAGGAAAAAAAGGGCATGCGGGGCAGAGCAAGGCAGGGCAGGGCGGGGCAGGGCAGGGCGGGGCGGGGCAGGGCAGGGCAGGGCAGGGCAGGGCAGGGCAGGGCGGGGCAGGGCAGGGCAGGGCAGGGCAGGGCAGGGCAGGGCAGGGCGGGGCGGGGCAGGGCAGGGCGGGGCAGGGCGGGGCAGGGCAGGGTAGGGCAGGGCAGGGCAGGGCGGGGCGGGGCAGGGCAGGGCGGGGCAGGGCGGGGCAGGGCAGGGCAGGGCAGGGCAGGGCACTAACAAGGCCGATGGCGGAGCCGTAGACGAGGCGACCCGCGAGCAGAGCAGGCAGGGAGGGGGCGGAGGCTGTGAGCAGCGCTCCTGCAAAGAAGAGCGCCGAAGCCAGCAGCAACTCCCTCCTCCGCCCTGCACACACGCGGCATGGGGCGGCGGGAGGAGGGGGGGGAGGGGGGGGGGGGGAGGAGGAGGGGGAGCAGCAGCAGTAGGAGGAGGAGGATTATGAGAAGAAGAGGGGGATGAGGTGAGGGCGAGGGAGGCAGTGGGTAGGACCTCGAAGTCAGCAGGAAAAGAGGAAGTGGGGGAGAAGGGGATGCAGGACCGACAAGGGGTGTGCGGCGTAGAAGGAAGGAGGTGAGGGGAGGGGCTAGTGGGAGTGTGGTTACCGAGAGGGGCTAGTGGGAGTGTGGTTACCGAGAGGGTCGGCGATGCGGAAGGCGAGCAGGCAGCCCAGCAGGGCTCCTCCCAGCGACCCACTCACCTGGCGGAGAGTGATGTGAGGGGAAGGTGAGGGGCGTGAAGGGGCGTGGAAGGGCGAGGACAGGCAGGCACACAATGGATGGAGGCAGAGAGCACAGCAAGGGCAAGAGCATGATTACAGGTTTCTTGACGTGACGGCATGGCAGGGGCGTGGCGGCAGGCAGGGGCGTGGCGAGAAAAAAGCCATGGGGTGAGAGACGTGGGCGAGTGTGTGAATGCGTGATTGAGTGAGTGGGTGAGCGGGTCAGGGAGCGTGCACGTGAGTGAGTGCGTAAGTGAGTGAATGAATGGGTGAGTGAGCCAACGAGTGCGTGAGAGAGTGAGAGAGAAGGACCGATAGAGAGAGGGCACGCACCACAAGGCCAACAGCAGTGGAGGAGAGGTCAAACCAGTCCGTGCCTGATAGCACTGGGTCCTGCCTCCCACCCACCGCCCCATGCCACGCCGCCCAGCCAGGGCACATGGTAAAACAGATGAAAGGGGCGGAGGTGGGAGGGGGAGGGGGAAGGAAGAGGGGAGGGGCAAGAGGCCAGGAGAGCAGATGAGAATGAGCAGGCAGGAAACAGGAGGATGAGGATGTGCGTTTCTCACCACTGTTCTCTGTGCCTCTCCTCTCACCACCTGTGCTGCGTGCCTGCAACACTGCCTGTGCTGCACTGCACGACCCCCACGCTGCCACGCGCACCTTGAGCGAGAGCAGCGCGCTGGAGGTGGCGCCGATGTCGTAGCCGAAGAGCAGCCCGCCCAGCGCCGGGAAGAGGAAGCTGCAGCGGGGAGATGGGGTGGGGGGGAGGGAGGGAGGAACACGGTGGCACGGTGTTGCTTGATGGAAAGGTGGAAGGGGGAGCACGACCGAGAGCAGGACTAGAGGAATTGGAAGGACATGTGTGGCAGCAGGAGTCACAGGCAACTCACGGCAGGGCGGCACAGGCGACTCACGGCAGGGCGGCAGCAGTCCAGACGGCAGCGCTGGTGGGCGGGGTGCTCTCAGCTGCTGCAGGCGGCGCGCTGCTCCCCCCATTGGCTGCCAGCAGGGGTGACGTCAGCTGGGATGGGACCGCCATGGCGGGAAACGCGTCTTCTACGCCCTGCGGGGGATGGGGTCGCATGGAGAACGGACAGTTGGACATGGCGTGCGCGGGGGCGGACATGTGGGGTGTGAGAGAGCATGGAATCTGCATAACGCGGCGACGACGAGCGCGGTATGCGAGACCGCGGCGAAGACGAGCGCGGTATGCGAGACCGCGGTCAATGGCGGCGACGGAGGCAGCGTGCAGGGGGGGGGGAGAGCGTGGTCAGCAACTTTCTCGGTTGACTGCGCACACTCGATGGACGGCAATCCGACGGCACAGGACGCGAGAGAACAACGGGCGCGTGGCGCAAGCGAATACTATTCAGCGCGCGGCCTACGCACTCTGGCGGTACGGCCGTCCTCGATGTCGCGCGCTCTGGAATCCGCTGCCGACGCGCGCGGTACTACTCGCTGGCGGTGAGACGCGCGGCGGGAGTGACAGCTTGAATGCGACCGGACGAACGGACGCGGACGAAATGACACGTCAGACGATCGCACTGGGCTACTGAGAGGGCGCGAGGCGGAGACTGCAGAGAGAAAGCGGTGCGAGCTGTAGGCGGTGGCCATGGCTGTGCGGGGAGTGGAGCTTACGGTTACGAGCCAGGCTCGCACCGCATTCCACGCGACTTGGCTGCCTACCGCCTGAACAAGTGGCGCACTGGCACTGCCTTAATTTGGGTAGGATGGGGGAGGAACACAATGGTGCTGTTCGCCAGCAAATCGTTTCTTCAACAGGAAACGATGGCATCAGCATCGCGACCGCATATGGAAACGGGGGCGGAACCCTCCGCCGAGGTTTGGGCGAAATGCCGCCCGAGAAACTACGCGCGCCCGACAGGCGAAATTTCTCAACCGCATCGGGAAGGTCCATCCCCACCTTCCCCCAATGGCGCGAAATTTGCTCATCCCTGACCCTTGTGCTGCCCGCTGAACAAAAATTGCTCAACGTGGGTAAAAAACGCAAATAAAACACACTCCGCTCAAACACAACCCCCGCTACCACGTGCTCATGCCCAGACACAACTCAAGTTATGCTCGGGGGGCATTTCGAAGGTGTGTTTGGGAGGGAAAAATGGGGGGTATACGAACCCCCCTTTGTTAAACTACAGGCTTGTTCAAGGGTTACCCTCTGAACAGCAATGCGTCGGCTGTGCCACCGCTGTGCTTTGAAAAACGCGGCATGACGATGGAATGGCTAGGGGATGGCATTTTGCCTGGGAACGAAGTTTCGTCCCCGCTTCCAGATGCCGTCGAACTGTTAGATTTGGTGGAGAAAAGTGGGCGTTCGCCAGACGCCCACTTTGTTTGTTGGTTTGGACGGTAGGTGAGGCTCGGCACTTTTTTCACGGGCTGACCAAGCTGACGTAGGTTAACGAACTCTAACTGACGGGATCAGGAAGGCGAGACCCACCTTCCTGATCCCGTCGTATCCCGTGGTTTTTGGATATGGTGCTGGCGAACAGCACCAATAGTCTCGCCAACCAATGCTTGCGAATATCCACACCGAACCATAGACTGTATTTGTGATGTCCTCGTTAGTGTGGAACTCGGTTGTCTCCATATTATTCAAAAGAAGGCTGAAGCATTGTATGCAGGGCGTGCAAACAAAATATTGCAGGAGATGGATTTGAGTCGAGAAGCGAGGTTTTGTTATCTCAAGGTTCATTTCTTGGCGGGAACGCCTCTGATTGGTTCGACTCCACTCGAGGCCATTCTGACCGTCTTCTCGCATCACCCTCTCTGGGAGGGAATGACAGACCGCCCCCCTGGTTTCGGGTTTCCGATTTCTTTCGGCAGTGGTTTTGACACCGTCTTGCTTCGCGCTCGATTCCGATACCTTCGGTCAGTTATCTATGCTATTGCCCCTTTTTGAGTCCAGAGACTAATATTTTGTTTATTTATTGGGTTATCATAAATTGAATCGTCGCGTCAATTACGAGAACCTCGGGACAAAAAAACATTTACCCCTCATGGAGGGCATGCCATTTGGGAGGCATCAACCCTAAACACCATGAGGCAAGGTGTTTAGGGTTGATGCCTCCCAAATGGCCAGCAATCCGAGAGGGGTTTATTTTTTCCACTGGCCACTAAACTAAAACCAGGTACATTTCAGAATTTTCCTGGTCACAGGAAATTGGAAATGTCGAAATCAGCTGCCCCAAGGAATCGGACGCGAGCGGAGAAGCAAGGCGGTGTCAAAGCCACTGCCCAAAGGAATCGGAAACTTGAAAACAGGGCGATCCGTCATTTCCTCCCCTCTCTGGTCTACTCCGCCTCACAGCTCTCGAATTCGTCATTTCTGAAGCAGCTTCAAATTCTAGGCTCCTAGTCCCAGGCTCGATCAACGCTCGTGCTTTTCCCCGCGGTTATGGCGATAGGACGGCGCGTGTAACGTACCGCTTTGCCGTTGTTAGCCCGCCGGAGAAAGAAGTTTCCGGTTGTAGCGCGACGAGCGGAGCAGGGCGGGGCGCGAGGGCGCGAGGATGGCGTCGGGGGAGGGCGACGAGGTGGCGGGCGGGCGCGCGTGCTACTTCCATCGCGACCTCAAGCGCGGCAGCTACGGCGGTGACGTCAGCTGCCTGCAGGAGTACCTTCGCACCGAGGTGCGCCCTGCAGCCCATACAGCCCGTAGAGACATAGAGACCATGCAGACCATGCAGACATGCAGACCAGAGGGCACGGGGGTGCGCGCTTAGAACAGCGTTTGGTCGTCGCGACGAATCGGTTTCGTGCATGCGCTGATGCACCGCGTCGCGTCCTACTCGTTTCTAACTCGCTTGTTTTCAGAGCCTGTACCAGGCCGTGTCGCTAAGAGCCTGTGGTCGTGTCCGACGTGGCAGGGATTGCTCTACGAGGAGCCGTCGGGGTACTTCGGCACGGCAACAGAGGAGGCCGTCATCAAGTGGCAGGTATGACGTCAGTAAACGGCAACTATGAGGTCATCAAACGGTGCGCAGCAGTCCGTTCATCGCCAGGTCCGCACATACTGCTGGCTGTCTAGTCCCCTCCGACCCAGCGCTACGATCCTTCCCCCTTCTCCTGCATTAGCTCTTGCCCCTCGTCTCTGCCTCTGCCCTTTTCCCCCGACAGACGAGCAACGCGCTGGTGCCGGCGCGCGGCATAGTGGGGTACTCGTCGCGCGTGGCGTACGCGCGGAAGCACGGGCTGCCCACCACGGAGCAGCTGCGCGCCATGGAGAAGGCCGCCGAGGTGCGCCCGCCACACACGCGCTGCTGTGCGCTGCTGCGCCGTGCCATGCCGTGCCGTGCAGTGGCGTGCTGTCCCATGCCATGTCGTCCCATGCCGTGCTTCTGTGATCCATGAAGCATATCTGTCCACTTTGGCTCATCAAATCGGTACCCCAAAACCATGCTTCTGTCCTCTTTCTAAAATATACGTCGCAAGTCATTTTGCTCTATACTTTGCTAGTGCTCACTGCAGCTCCCTCCCCTCCGCGTCCTCATGCCCGTGGCAACCTGTGTCCTCTAACCCCCTCGTGTCCGGCTTTGTGCCGCCCGCCCATTGCCCGTTGCCCTGCGTGTGGAGCAGGGGTGTGAGGTGCGGCGGTGCATAGAGATCGACGCGCACAAGCGGAACGGCATGGAGCTCTGGGAGCGATGCCTAGCGTGCGTCCTCACTCACCTCCCCTCCCCTTGCTCTCTCGTCCCCCCTTGCGCCCCTCCCTGCCTCCCCTCCCCTCTCGCTTTGCCCCAATCGCTGCTCCTCATGTCCATCTGCGCACCACCCCTTGCTCCCCACGCCTGCTCCACTGGCTCGCCTGCGCGCATGCACCTGCGCTGCACGCTTCGCACTGCATCCCTCCCGCCGCCTGCTGCTGTGCTCTCTGCTTCAGGCGGACAAGAAGGCGGAGGTGATAGAGTTCTGTTGTGAGCTGGTGGGAAACCAGGAGATTTTCCGCACCAAGCGGTGCAAGTGCGTACCGCACTCTCACGCTCACACACTTTATCCGTGCCTTCGTTTCACATGTGCTTTGCTACCCACTTTCTTCCACTTGCCGTGTGTGTCTCCTCTTGCTTATTCATCGTGTATGCATTCAGCCTAATGTGGGATCCTCACCTTGCCCTGCTTGTTGCTGTGCCTGTTCCGCTGCTGGCAGGGAGGACGCATCCCTGGCTGATCGCATGCACCTCTGCAGCGAGGCGTGCCAAATGGCAGTCAGTGAGGCGTGTGACAAGGTGAGCTTATGGTGCTGCTGCCTTTTGCTTCTTATGGTGGATTGTGTCTTGATTAGTAGCGAGATCAGGTTGGCTATTTACTCTTTGATTTGTGACCCTGCCATTGTTTGGTTTTATTTCAGGCCTTTCCAACGAGCCAAAACAGTGACTACAAGAAGTGCCTCAGCCTTATACCAAGAAATTGCCTCGACGCATGTCGCAACATTCTTAAATCGAAAGACAAATGACACACCTAACTACCTCCAATATGTGTAGTTTAACCCATTATGTAGCAAGCTGTTTTAGCATACCAGTACAGTAGTCTTTCTAGCCTCCCAGATGGTAAAGTAAAATGATCAATCATTGTTCTCACAATTTGCCAGCACATGAATTCAAGTTTTCCGCTGCAATACTTTACAGAGACTAAACTCTAAAAGATCCTAAGGCTATTTCCTCAGCCCAACAGATGTGATATTATTGACAGTAGAAACTAAGTATTTCCAAAACGCTTTTCCATATTCCCGGTAGCCTCCTACCTTCGTGTACATACGGTATTGTAAGGAAACGAGGCGGAGCACCCGCCAGGCACATCGGGTCTTGCTGCAGAGGGAGATATTTCCCTCCCCATAATCCAGGAGCTCGCGGCTGTTGGCATAGCAGACCGCGCCATCTGTCCGCTGCACTTTCCACGTCGAGCAGGTGCCAAATGGCTGCCCATATCCCTGCATCAACGGCTTGGTTTGCCGCTCTGACGACCGTCGTTGAGTCTTCGTCGAGTCGTCGCCAACTCGCGAAGTCGTCGCGAGCCGACCCTCCTTCCGCCTGTCCTCTCCCCGCCTTCCACCTTTTGCGTCCTTGCAGCCAACTCTGCCTTCACTCTTCACTTGACATGCATTCATCCATTCAGAATATCCACTCCCTGAGCTCCGCCAGCATCTCAGCACTTGCCCACTTGTGCTCTGGCGTCTCTGATCACCGTCCAGGGCAGTACTAAATTTAAGTTTTAGGTGTTCGTTCCGTGAAACCGATAATAATACTGGATACTCTTTAGAAAGTGACCATTTCTATTCTAGGTTGCTGTTAAAGTCGTCGTCGCCATGGCATCAGCGTCGTGTCATGCGTCAATAACAGCAAATGGCATTCGATACGCCACTGACGGCGCAGTAAAGGTCTCGCAATCAAGGCGGTGCTCGTTTTCCGGCGCCACGCGTATCGACGGTGGCCTCTTACGCCGTCGAGATCACGCCAGCCGGCGTGGAGTCGCCGTTCGAGCATCGGTCGAAATGACCGAAGCGGAGAAAGAGGGCTGGCGGAAACGGCGGGTAGGCATCGCTTTGTTGAGAATTTGTGCATACGTGTAGCCATCTCATCTCTCTGAAAGTTTATACGACTGTCATCATTTTACTGCTTACAACTTCTTCCAGGTCCAAGGAGACTATCGCTTCAGGGAACCAGAACTATCAATACCTTGTGCCGTTTTGACGGCGGTTATCCGTTGCATACGAAACCCCCCGTGTGTTAAACGATAGTTCACGTCGTTGTTCGTCCGGGATTCTCCCCGCCCTGTCGTGCTCTGACGCCATCAGAGCGAGGCAGCGGAGGAGGCGGCGCAGAAGGCGGAGAAGGAGGCGGAGGCTGCGGAGGCGGGCGCGGTGGACGAGTGGCGGTGGACGCTCAACTGGAACCACATCCTGCCCAACCTCGTCGTCGGCTCCTGCCCTCGCTCGCCAGATGACGTCGTCAGTCCCTCTCCCTCCTAAACCTCTTCTCACCGCCCTGCTGTTCCCTGCTATCGCGCATACTCGCGTCACTGTCGCCTCTGCCGCTCTGCTCGCCGCTGCTGCTCACAGCCACCGCACCCCACGGCATAAGGCAGCGGTATTTGTGTTCATCTTCGCTTCAGCATGCTCGCGCCCTGCTCGTCCATCTTTGTCCCTCCGTCTCCCTGTGCTCCTCCGTGTGTCCCGCGCGCGCGTTTCTTTCCCCGCTCATCCCTCCGTGCCCCGCCGTCGCCCTTGGCCGTGCGGCAGGACCGCATAGCGGACGAGGCGGGGGCGACGGCGATCATGAACCTGCAGTCCGACCTCTGCTTCGACGCGCTGAAGGTGCGTGCCCCACCCGCACACACTCACTGCCAAACTTACCAGCTGGTACCTGCCGGAAGAACGAGCTGGTGCGTTTATTGAAACACCACACGCGAAAACGATACGGAACGCACGCTTTGCATACAATTCAGACGAATCAATGCATATGAGGAAGTACGATCAAGCTTTCCTTGGTTGCAAGGCACAAGCAGAAACCGAAACTCGCGCCCTCAACCCACCTGCGAAGTTGCAACCCCTACTCTCCTCTTCACTATGGCTTGTGTGGTGCTTACCGCATTCACTTTTGTCTCGGGTGCTCTGCGTGCTGTGCTTTGCGTGCTGTGCTCTGCGTGCTGCTTGCGCTGTGCTGTTGCTGTGCTGCGGTGCGGTGTGGTGCTGCTGGGTGGTGCTGCATGGTTCGCGGTGGCTCTGGGCGCATCAGATTCCGTTTGAGAGCGTTCGGGCGCGGGCGGTGGAGCGAGGGGTGCTGCTGGCGCGAGTGCCAATCAGAGACTTCGACCACGGCGACCAGGTGCCACCACGCTCCCCCGCCTCTTTCCTTCCCAATCTGCTCCCAGCGTTCTCATGTCCCTTCCCATTCCTTCCCACCTTCCAGTCCTCCTTTTGCCACATTCCACT